AACCAAAATACATCATGTAAAGGTACAAGCTCCCAATGATGAATGTAACTGTATTTTATACCTAAAATGTACCAATAAACTTAATGGGGAAAAAAAAAAAAAAGAAAACTACTGAAGTTTTACTACCCATCAAAGTAAGGACTAAATCAAGAAATAATAAAATTTGGGATATGTATAGGAAACAAGATCAAATTCTGGAGGAAAGGAAAGGAAATTTCCAACATAATTAAGGAATTATCTCAAGATGACAAATATTCCACAGGCCTAGAAAAGACCCAGTTCAGACCAGAGATGAACACTGGGTTATAAAGAAGATGCTTCCAGAGAAACAAATAAAGGTCTTTTATTCATTTACTTTTTTAAAAATAAGAAATTGATTGATGGGATAGCTAAACCCATGTTACTAAGGTCAAAGTTTCTGAAAATGTTTAGTTAATTCTCTCAAAGTACAATATATTTAGTATACTAACAGCTCTTACATCAACTTTTTTTCCTTTTGGTCTTTTCCACATTTTTGTTTAGTGAAAGCAAAAGTTGGTTTTATAACAGTTACACCAAATACTCTACAAAGTTAATGACCAAATGTGTCCTAGCTGCCTACCAGAAACTAGCAGAGTGCCTTGCATGCAGAAGGTACTTAATAACACTGACAAATTTAAAAATACTTCTAAGCCAGATATATCATACAGGATACAAACAAAAGAAAGGATGGCAGAGAAGCAGGGAGAACTTATTTTACACAACCCAACTTTGGTATCTGACCTTTGAAAAGTATTCCTAATTAATGCTGCCACTATGGGTAAATTATGATGCATGCAGAATGACAAAAAACTAAAGGAGCTGAAAAGAAGCATATTTATGAAATTTGCTTATGGTATATGTTACTTATTAAAAGCTGGAAGAGTAAATCATTTAAATCATTTTAGCAAGAGAAATTAAAATACTAAGAAAAAATTGGATTCACATATAAAATATATATGAACATTTGAAAACTATGATGTGCAATCTCAATACATCCAAAATTAAAACAAAAACAGAAGTTTAGTTTCTCAAGTTTCAATGTATAACTTAAAAGCAAAGGAAGAATGAAATATTTGAAAAGACACTAGAAACAGAAGCTGGAAAAATCTCAGAATCCAACCACCTTAAAAGCTAGTGCATAGATATAATTTTAACAAAAATAAGAACATACCATGCATTCACTGATTTGGGAGCTTTTGAAGAAGCATTTAAAACTGTTTCCATGCTACTTGTTCCTGAACTGTGTTCTTTGGTAGTCAATGCGATCATTTTTCGTTGCTTCTGAGAAAGTTTAACTCCATGAGGTATCATTTTGCTAAAAAAATTGAATTAAACCAATTAGTTTCACTGCTTCTGAGAAAGTTTAACTTCATGAAAAACCATTTTGCTATACATTAGACCAATTAGCATTAATTTTTGGCTAATGAAGGTTACACATAATGTTTTCTATTTATTTGGTGTGACTCTACTATTATTGGACTGAAGTGTTAATATCAGTTTATACTATTAATGGTCAAGTAATAGCTATATATGAGCCCTCCTACATATACTTTTCAAGGAGAACTTGTATAATAAGCCTTAAATTGTTAGCTTTTCTACAGAAACAGTCTGCAATGATATGTTAAAGGCAAGTTTCTAGCAGTTAATACTGAATTTCCCAAGAGTTAATCTATAAACTCAACTCAATCTTTAGCACAAATTTAAGAAATAGTATTTCAGAAGATAAATTTTGTCAAAGAGGGATTATAACTATTATGCAGATGCAGGCCAGATCCAGTAGATCTTTCTAATTCTTTAGGGCATACATACAACCTAATTTAGTCTTTTTCTTTTTTATGGTTTTTTAAACTAACCCAGAATTTGACTTTCGTGTAGCTCCACATTTTTGTCTGTTTTCTTCTATTTCCATGATGGTTCTGAGATCCACAACAGGTGGGCTGACAGGACTAAACAACATTAAAAAAACGTTACTTTACAAAACATTCATTTACCTATAAAGCCCAATCCTAAATTTCATTGAAACTGTAAATTATATGTAAGATTAACAATGAAAGTATAATTTAGACTTATTTTGTTAGCTGTGGCCAACCTCAAAAAGGATATTTTGAACAAAACCTACTTTTATATACAAATACACAAATAATTAAGATGCATCTAAACTCATAAAGGTAAATGATGTATCTGAAATTCTACTAAAGCACAAGAAAAAAAGTCTTATCTAAATTTGGCACTAGAACTCACTAAAGATCTAATTAAATTCTTTTGGATGAATGAAGCTTGAAAACTATATTCTTTTTATTTTTAACAAACAAAATTTTCACTACAGTCTACTATTTACAAAAAGATATTTATTAAAAAATTTTAGGGATGCTTAACAATACTGGAGATCCACCAGAAGGAGTTGTACCATAGAAAAAATAAAAGACTACACAACCTTCAGAAATAGTTTGATTTAAATAAAATCTATAATATAGCTAAAAAAATATATATTACATATTAAACGGTAATCAGTTTCTTTTTAATAAAAAATTCTACCTATAATTCCCACTAAAAAGTACTTCAGAATGACTGTAGAAATATTTGTGTATATATTAAGAATACTAACCATATATTGCTATACACTTTGTCAATGGGCACTGAAATGAAACACATTGCCACCTTAAGTTGTTGACTTTACCAAGCTATTCTTAAAACATGTTAACAAAATATTCTAACATTAGCAATTAGAAGATGTTTCTAGGTATTCCCAAATTATGTATATTCCAATGCTTTTACTTGGAGCAGAAAAAACATGAAACTAATTTTTGAGCTACCTTTAGACCGTGAAGCAACATAAAGTAGAATATCATAATCTTTTTCCAACTGTGCAAACAAAGCATAAAGGAAATTACAAAAATCATTCAAATGATAATATAATTAGCCAATTAAGAGTTTTAGGACCAGACCCGGTGATGCATGCCTGAAATCGGAGCACTCTGGGAAACTGAGGCAGGAGTATACTAAGTCTAAGACCAGCCTGGGCAACTCAGCAACTCTGCAAGATCTTGCCTCAAAATAAAAAGGGGTGGGTGGGTTTGTAGCTCAGTGTGAAGGCCCTGAGTTCACCACAGTACCTCAGGAAAAAAAAAAAAACTGATGCACAATCTCAATAACCACTATGAAAGAACACAAACTGAATTTTAATTACATCTACTCCTTCATTTAACTTTTCTCAGTAAAATAAAAATCTACGTACAATGTAGGCAACTTCGGGATATAACATTAAATGAATATCCTCAGAAAATTAACTTTGAAGAACAACACATTTTGTGAGATTTTAAATACCCCTTGGAGTGCCTCAAGATTTAAGCCTACCAAATGAGAAAATGAGAAGAGCTTTTCCTGAGCTTTTCTTGCTTTTTAAATTTTTAAATGATGTATAAAAATCTTACATACTTAGGGGATACCATGTGATATTTCCACACTTATGTACACTGAAATGTTCAAATCAAAGTAAACCTATCTCCTCAAAATTTATCATTTCTTTATAATGAAAACATTTAAAATCCTTCCTTCTAGCTGTTTTAATTAATAAATAGTACATTATCACTATCTATAGTTATCCTCCTTTAGAACAAAACAGTTTTTTCTTCTAACTATAACTTAGTATTTTACCTATTAATAAGTATTATTCCATTCTTACCTCTCCTGACTTCTGATATTCAGGTCTCTTTCTCCCTCTCTCTCTCTCTCTCTCTCTCACACACACAAACACACACACACTTGAACATATACATATGTGTGTATACATATATATATATTTACATTTAAGTACAAATATAGCATTCACTACTATGCTCCAACAATATAGTACAACTAAATTTTATCAGACAGAAACCCTATTATATATAGCTGGATAGCAATTTTAGCAATGTGAATATATACAGGTAATTTTCTGTACATTAAAATATACTAATTTAATGTGCTTCATTAAAAATTTTCATTTGACTAAAAATGAGCATTTCTTAGGTTCAAATCAAAATGAAAGTCCTACCTGAAAGACCCAGTAACCCAAGTGGAAGAGCTTGTCATATCAATTCTATTACTGGGAATGGGCTGTGGAGCAGATACTTTAAGTATTGGTGATTTTTCCCATTGCTTTAAATCTTCCTTAGAATATGTAGTGGGTGTACCATTAACATATGGCTTTAGTTTCCGCCAAGGGAAGGAAAAGAACATTTAAAAAGTTAGTAATGGCAGGCACCTATATCAACAGCTAACATAGTTGATATTTAATAAATATTATAGTAAAATCATTTGACAAATCATCTAGCATTTTCAATCCATGGTCTACTACAGTTTACTTCTTCAATGAATTCTCAAACTACTCACTGACTACAACCCGATTACTGTGAACTTAGAGAATCATTTTTAGAGAAATAAGCTTACACATTAAATTTCCATTTACACAAATAGTAAAATTAGTAAATAAAAATTGTATGAATATAATATGAAGCAATAACCTTAAAATTAATATCTGTGAATATAGATAAGAAATAAAATGAAAACTGGGCATAAATATCATATAATTCACTCAATATAATTAAATTATTCTGAATAAAATAAAATCAAATAATATTAACAGTTCAAAATGGATCTAAAACCATCTTTTGCAATGAGAAAGGGACCAAGAGATGAGGGCAGGGGTAAAAAGAATTAAGGTGTGTTATGTACATGTATCAACTCTGCATGATGAATATAATAATAATGTATTATAAATATGTACTAATAAAATTTTTAAAAATTTTTTGAAAACTATTGCTATTATACTGGGCTAAGTTATTAAAATAATATTTCCATTGCCAGGATAGATTCTTCTGTTTAAGCAAGACATTTTCAATGTCTTCAACCTTTCTTTAAATCTCAAATGTCTTCCAGACCAACCTTATGTGAACAATAACTGCCTCCAAACTTCTACCCCACACTAATAAAAATAAAGAAATAAACAAATAAACAAATCAGTCCTTGAGGTCTAGAACACTCGTAAAAAGAAAGAGCAATGTCAACTGTCTCACGAATTCCTAGAAGTTCAAATATGTTTTATGGGTATGTAAGGGTTAGAGAAAAATGATTCTATCTCTAATAAGCTTGACATTTTCTTCCCCTATAGATTAGTAACTGTGGAATAAAATGTTAAGAGACTAGGAATCCAATAATTTAATGTCAATTAGAAGACTAATCATTCTAGCTTGTTTTGCACCAGTTAATACTGTGAAAGAGACTATGCAGAATTTGACATTAGACTTATACTCAGAATCATTTTCCTTTGACTATTAACTGGTGTTAACTGATATTTCCCAAAATATATTTCAATAATTTATGCTTATTTTACTTACAGAAAGATTAGAAATAATAAAGGCCTCAAAACTACCATTAAAATCTCTAAAACGAGAAAGGTTTTACAAATTAGAAAAAATGAGCACTACCTATATTAGTTTTACCTACATTCTTATAAACTAACCAGGAAACTGTTTAAAAGTGAGAACAAAAGTAAGGAAAAACTAAAGGTAAACTGTCTACAGATCTGAAAAGTGAAAGTAAGGAAAGTATCTAACAAAACAAACCTCCATCTTATCCGAATGAAATCCTGTGCTGAAATCAGGGGACTGCAAATCTCTAGGACTACCCGCTCCTGCATAACTTCCTTCAGAATCTGATGTCAAGAGCTCTGGAAGAGATTCCACAGAATTGGTCTTACCAGACTTTAATAATCCTAAAATGTGAAATTTTAAAAAAAGAAAACTTTACATATAAGCATTAAACATATATGCATTGCAGTCAGTGAGTCCAAAGTTTCCATTTGTCCAAATGTAGTAATATTTAAATTATATTCACTGCATCAAAATCTGATCATTCATGATAATTGGAGGAAGATATTAATTTAAGTGAAAAACTGAAAGAAGGCAATAAAACTATAGTTTTATTCATTATATGTCAATTATGCAATGAACCTGAGGGAAGACAGTTCTTTGGGATTTGCTTTGAAGTAATGATTGAAAATCCTTTTCCAATTAACGATAAAAGAAAAAGAAAAGGAATTAACTCCAGACATCCCCTTTTCCTTTCTCATTTGTCTTTCTGTACGAGGTCTCTGTACCCATGAAGAGGAGAACTGTTTCATTTTATATGAGAGGAAAATCCGTGGCCTTGCTACCTTTCATTTAGCCAGCAGACTGGCCCAATGGCAGAGCCTTTTGCAGAAGTCAATGGTAGCCTGTTTGAGAGTTGGTATTTTTTTCCCCTATAAAAAAAAATCACTGCCAATTGAGAGCTATTTTTAATTAGCTTATCAACTGAAATTAAGACAGTTGTTATAAAATGTACATACCAGAGATGGCAAACTTTTTAGAGCTTTCAAGCACAACAGCCAGCCAGCTATTGCAAGTGTGCCACAGGTTTGCCACCAGTGGAATATACCACTTCTGTCGTTTAAGCAGCCTAAATGTCTGCTTGTGCTGTACCCAATATCCAGATTCATTAGCATAGCAGAGTCATTCAAATATAACATAGTACTGAATAGACTACATTTTGCTTAATTTCACGTGATCATTTTCAAACATTTCAAATTTATCAGCCTAATGAAGTACTGAAATAAAGACATACAACATTATCTGAATTGTAAAAGTTGCACAATTGACTTAAAAATAAATAAAACATTTCTTATATAATGAATTAGGTGTTGCTCCCTTTAAAGTAAGTCATGTTAACAAGCTATCTGAGTCTTTTCCTACTGTCATTGCTAAGATATGGTATGGGAATAACACTCAAATTTTCCCTTTCATTTGAGTATCGTTGGCAAATTTTTAGCTAAGAGATTACATTTAATACTTAAGTATTTTCAAAAGCCAATCAGACAGAAGCTATCTTTCTCTCAATAAATTTTCTTACTCTTAAAAAAAAAAGAAAAAGAAAAAAAGAAATGTTAGAGAATCGAGTGGATTAGTAAAGTAACAGTTATTTTTTGGCCACAAACACTTTCAAACAATGTTATCTGTCTAATTTTAAAGATCAACATATGTTAGGCCTTCAAACAACTGTCTTGGATAAAATTTCTCTTACACTCAATTTTTTCATAATCAGGTCTTTTTGGCCCCCAATTAAATTTAACATTTTAATCATTATCTCCTTTGGACACAGAAAGAATATGGAACTGGAATCAAGGGAATAAATTCTACTTCTTTTTATCACTACCTCAAATCATTGATATGTTTTTAGCTTCCTCAGATTTAAAGAGACATTATTTCTTCACTAATGTCTCTTCTAACTTGAAACTGTAAGATTCTAACACATGTGCTGACAATATTATTTAATCCAAATGAAATGTCTGCTATTTCCATGTAATTTATGTGACTGGAAAAATATCAGTTTTTAACTGTCTAACCTTTTAGTCATCCTTCTATTAATCAACTCATTCTTCCTTCTATGGGAGAGGATCAAGTCTAAATCATACACAGAGTTCAAACTCACAGAATTTTACATTTGGAAAATTATTAACTCTGTCTTTTTGATTTACTCAGTCTCCTAATTCTATCTTCAGTGCTTCATAAATCAATTCAGGTATATATTCAACATTTATATATTTTGTGTCACCTAAAACAATTATTCTTAACATTGAGCTTTATCGGAAACATCCAGAATCTCATTCTAATATATAATTAAAATAAAGAATTCTTTCTTTGTCCTATTTAAGAGCTATCTTTTTCTAAGGGACATAAAATAGTCAATTCTCTGATTTTCTCAAAGTTACTTGTATAGGGCTGACTATGGAAGTACTCCTGATAGAAACTATACTAGGTTAAATCTTACTACCATACCTACATATCCAAAAGTCAAACTGTTGTCTCAGTATTCTATGGTCAAACTTCACATTTTATCTAAAGAAACTTAAAAATTTAGCTAGTTTAGGCCTGGGGATTTAGCTCAGTGGTGCCTGCTTTGCAAGCGCAAAGGTCTTGAGTTTGATCCCCAGTACCAAAAAAACAAAAAAATTAGCTAGTTTAATCTGAATCAGACAAATCTAGTTATGTGTAATAGTCTGCAATACAACCAGCTTAAAATTTTGAAAAATAAAAACATATACAAAACAATAAAGTATGGAAAATATTGGCCTAGTTAGGAGACTAAAGAGATCGTTAATAAACAAAGGCAATGCTGATCTTGATAAAATACTAGTTTTATTTAAAAGTGAAAACAAAAAAGTCCATAAAAACATTTTTATTAATTAGGAAAAATCTGAGTATATAATGTAATACTAGATATATTCATGAAAATGTAAATTGTCTTAGGTGTGATAATAGTATGTGGTTGTTAAGAAAAATGTTTTAGAAGATTCACATCAAAATATTTTGGGGAATATATCACAGCTACAACTTATTCCCCAGATCAGTTAAAAAAAAAAAAAAAAAATCTCTCATTTATACACATACACACATAGACTTCTGTGTGTGCCTATAGAATGTTTAAAGGGTAACATAAATGTAGTAAGAAGTTAACAATAAATCTGAATAAAAATATGTAAGTATTCATGTATTTTTCTTTTCAGTAAAAGAATTTCAAAGTAAATAATTGATAAAAGAACTTTAGCAAAACTACGTAACCTTTATTTTCAAACAGGCTCATATAATGCCTACATATAAAATATACTATGGTCTACTACTAGATTATTATCTCTTTACATATAAAAATGACATTGTTTTGAATACTTATATATTTGAGTAAAATCAACATAATACTATCTCTATCATATATGACCTACTTTTAAACAGTTATGCCATTGAACAGACAAGTCTTTCTAAAAATATAAATTCTATCTACTCATATCCTGTCTTAAAAATTTAATAACACCCATTAGCTTTAATATAAAGTCCAAATTCCTTAGTTTAATTACCCTCCAAAATCTATCCAACCTTTTCTCTATCTGCACACACCCTATGAGGCTAAGCCATGGTGAACTATATACACAAGAAATGTGCAATTCAATCTACTGCCTCTAGGATTGGAAATACATTACCCCTTTACTTAGTATGTTTCTGCCTTCTTTCCGTGCTTAATTTCATTAAGTTCAGTCTAGTTGGGCTGCCTCTAGTTGGGATGCCTCTTTCCTGCTCATCAGAGCAAACTTCAATCACAGTACTTTTCTCAATATACTATCATTTTCTATAGCCTCTGTAAAAACTTTTCATTTTCAGTAGCCCCAGCAGATGACATGTAATAGTATTTAATAATTTTAAATGAATTAGATAATAAAGAGAAACATCAAAGATTAGAACTAAAAATACATGTTAAAACACTTCCACTAACCTGTAGACGGTGGACTCTGAATAATATCTGAAAGGTTATAACCTCCAGAACTATCTGAACGTTTACGTGGCTTCTTTTTGGCTTTTGTCTTTGCCTTCTTAAACATAGTTTCCCTAGTAAAGGAAAAAGGAACATAAAAGTAATTTTTGAAAGTGAATTGTTGGAGTTGAAACAACAGAAAAACTATGCATTTTAATCAACAGAATATAGTATTTTGGTTAAACTGAAACCATGTACAGATAGGCAGCTGTTGTTATATTCATCTATGTAGACCAGAGCAAATTACTTGATTTTACTGGCCCTCAATGATACTACTACTTGTTCTAACCCTCACATTTCTGTGAAAGATAAAAACAAGATGCTATGAAGGAAAATATGTATTTTGAAAAATAACAGTGGTTTTTGCTACCATAACTATTTAAGAGCAGCAGCCATAGCTCTCTGCCAACCCCATGGCCCTAGAACTTAACAAAGGCCACAAAGTGACCAAAAATAATAGCAGGCCAAAAGCATAGTGGCCTCCATGGGTGAATCACCAAGGCACACCAAGTTTATGCAAGTGGTGTGTGGCTTTGTCATATATAAACAGTGCACTGTGGAGCTGCTCAAGATCTCCAAGAGCAAACAGGCCCTCAAGTACACCAAGAAAAGTGTAGTGACACACATCTGGGTCAAGACAAAGTGAAAATGCGGAACAATGTTCTGACCATCATAAGGAAAACTGCTACCAAGGACCAATCCTCCTCTCCCCTCTGTGCATAAGAAAGCCTCTAGGTTCACTAATATTAACTATGATCTGGAACTAGAAACACTTGCTAATCATTTTTTAAAGCATTTCAGAGAATGCTTAATTCCTTGAATTAAGTACTATAAATTAGGGAAGAGCAAATAAAATATCTGTGAAGGCCAAAGCTATCTTATCTACAAATTAGATTTTATTGTACATTTTATCCGCTTACAACAGGTCAGCTATGAATACTATTATTTTGTAGAGAATATGAGTTATTTATGTCAATGTTAATAATTTTATTAAAATGTCATACATCTAAGTCAGATATGCATAAACTTCAGTATCCCAAATACTATAAAACACTAGAAAACAAAAGTTAAAAACAAAAAAGAGTATCTCTGGAACCAAAGAGCAATCTCCAGTGAGATACATGTTGATTAATTGTACATAGCAAATGACTTGAAGACCCAAAGATTTTACTTTAACAGACAACTTACCAAACAAAAGAATCTGTAACCAATTGATAAGTGAGCCTAAAACGCTAAATAAAACTTCTCTGCAGGGCTTGTCAAGTGGTCAGCCCACTATGGATCATGCAGAAACCAAGATATTTTGTTGAGGGACTTCCAAATTTGTCACTGCAGATCATATTAACCTTTGAAATAGTCAGGTTCTCTAGAGAGAAACCTTTTCAAAATAGTATCTCATTTCTGGTTGCTCCACTCCTCTCTGGAGGCTCTCTGGTTCAACCTCTCCAAAGGGCAAGTCTCTAATTTTCTGTAGAGGCGGAGGAGGGGCAATCACTTGACTAAATTGGGTTTAGAAAGGTTCAAGAGGGGATCAGGAATCTAATGATCCTTAAATCCAAGTACTCACCCTAGACTTCTTAAACCTGCTATAACTAATTATTAACCATTTTCAAAATGATTTTAGCTTTTTCTGTTCTAAGTTATTACTATTCAGCAACCATTTGCCACCTTCCAAAATTATCTCCCATCTACTGTTTGTTCCTTTTCTATTCGCTCTGCTCTAGTGTAATATGCTTATCTAAACTTCTTTACAGTAATCTTAGTGAGTTTTGGGATGTAGCTAAGATAAATGCACTTATTTAACTCAGTATGTTTAACTCAAAGATTATATTCTTTTTATACCTACATTTTCAGTTTGTTAGACTTAAAAATACTATATATTTACTTTGTATTATACCAAGACTTGGAGTAAAAGAAAAAAGGAAGGAAAGACTGAAAAGAAAAGAAAGAAAACAGCTTACGAATAATTTTGTTCCATGTTTAGTTCTTCTTTCAAAAAGACATCACTATCTTCTGTGTCCAAATAGCTAATATCTGGTCCATCTTGATAGGGTGTAATGACTCTTCTATCCATTGCTGGAATCTACAGAATTAAAGATGTCACTTTTTAAATACAAAATTTGTGCAAATTGTATTAATAAGATATTACACTTGTTTTTAGTATATGGTGACATTAACTAGAAAAGGTCTGGAATACCTAATGACTTCCTCAGTTTATAATATAAGAAAATTTACTTAGATTCATTAAAAAGTATATTCTATAAAATTGTAAAAAAAAAAAAGGAAAACTTAAAAGAAAAGCTCTTCTTTATTACTACACATAGATTAATCCATTTCTTAGGAATCTTGTGAACCCAAGTTTCTGCACTGTCCTGAACTTTGGTAAATAAGTAAAACTAATTTTCTGTAACTTTCATTTATGATGTAAATAAAATAGATATTTATTTTATCATTAACTATCTTTGATTATCATATATATCTGTGGGATCTGAAAGAAATTATATGTTCTCATTTCTAAAAGATCCTAATGTATTATTCCACTGAGAAGTCTGATCTACTATACTGCTTTAAATGGTAATACTATTGCCACTGAAATCTTCAGTGGAAAAACATGAACCTTACCATTTTTCGGTAAAATACAGAAAGATCCTTCAAAACATCATCACTTAAAACATCAAGAGACCTAAAAAAAAAAAGGAAATAAAATTCCATCTAAGACTCAAGTGACTTAATAGCTGTCAAAATTTTCAAATGTGTAAGAATATTTCACAATGCCAAACAAGTAACACAGAGTTATTTTTCAAGCCTGTATATGCTAGCTACTATATACATGCCTTTTGGAAATAGGTGTAGTTATTTATTTCAAGTAAGCAGCAAACATTTATTTCAAGTAAAAAGAGCAAACGAAATATTGTCAGTAAAACTCAAGAAAATGTTATAAGTGTATAAAGTGTATAATAGTTTTTATTTTGATAAAATACCAAGCATTTATTTTCCAAAAATTGTAGTTTTTATAAAAGAAATATCATATCCCTAGAACAACAACCTAAGTATCAGGATATCTTGATTCTATCTAAAATATTACCTTCATGACCTTGAAACTCATTTTATTTCTACTTCATGTGTAACATGAACTTTGGACTAGATCAGCTGTATTTAAGATAGAGTTCAAGGACCTCTCAGGTTCCAAATAGGAATTTTAAGGCAGCAGTGCAAATGTAAATCAGAGTTTATATATCTAATTAAGAACATTTAAATCTGTACAAATCCTTAAGTGGTACATGTCTACTCATGTTAATTTATGATCGCAGGTGTCATTCTTCAGTGGCTCAGTTGACATATCTCCACTTATAATAGCTGAACAATAGTGACACAACATTTTGCAATGTAATTTTTTTTTATAGTTAACTTGCTTTTTATTTTTTTGGTTGACTCTTCACCTGACAAAATCAATGAGTTTAATTTGGCAACACAGAGTGATAAAACTGTTATGACTAGAATTACTAAAGTAATGTCAGCAATGAAATTAATTTATTTTGAAAACAGACTCTCAAACATCTAAGGCATTTTAAAAATGATAGTGTCTAATATTTTATAACATTAATTTGCATTTAAAAGCACTTTTCAGAAAGAAAAAGGCTTTAAAGGCAACAGTGTTTTCTAAATTGAACCCTACACACAATTAAAAATCTATTAATGATTACCTACAAAAAATAGTGCAACACTATTTCAGCCATGTATTGGAATTAGATTATTTAAAAATCATCCTAACTCTGAAGAATATGTTATTAAAAAGCTGTATAATAACTACACAGATTAAGACTTTCTCACCCCTCCCCAACCCCACAAAAGAAACGTAAAGAAAAAAGTTGCAGGGTTTTTCTCATTTTTAACACAAGGATATTAACAAAATCTACTTCATAATGTTTCCACAAAAATTTAATGAATTAATCATGTAACAAGTATAGAAAACTGCCTGGTACATAAGCAGCAGTAAATATTAGTTATTATTACCATTGAAAACATATAAACTGGATGATAAAACCTTACACTGAAAACCAACAAGGATTCTAATCTCAAACACCTATGTCACCAAAATAATCTCATTTTTTACTACTAACTTTATAGTGAATAAAAGTACTCTGAACTTATATTTAAAATATGTGTAGAATTTTTCATTAAAAAAACCTTGGCTAGGGCTGGGGATTTAGCTCAGTGGTTCCACCGCCTGCCTCACAAGCACAAGGTCCTGAGTTCGATCCCAAGTAGCAAAAAAGAAAAAAAAACCAAAAAAAGAACTTGGCTAAACACAGTCTAGAAGTTTCCAAGATTCTTCTAATTCTAATATGTCTAAAACCCCTAAATCATTAGCATTCATAAAATTCTTTTCATCCAGGTAAACATTTATTATTTACTTTTAAATTACTGGCATATCTGCTATTACACCTTCGCAAAAAGTCTTATAATGTATGTATTCAACCAACCTTGCTTCAAGTAAAGCTGCCATATTCAGTCCTATAAACTGTAAACAAGATAGTTTCAACTGTTCAGCATTATACATTGCTGCAAATTCTAGTAGCATCGCTGCATTCTTAAGGGTAACTATAAAGAAAGAAAAGATTTGCAAAATTAGATAAAAGGCATCTTAGGACAACAAATAAAATATGCTTATTTCTAAAGTTTTAAGTTACAATTTGGATGTTAGAATAAGAAAAATAGAAAGCATTTTCTTACTAAAAATAACTTCTGCCGGGGCAAGCATAGAACTCACATAAGAACTGACAATTTTCTACCTAAAAATTTCTGAATATTTTAAATTTTCATTAATGAAAATCTTTTCATTTCTATGACAGAGTAATTATTCCCTCTTGTATAAAGCTAAAAGATATTCTTGAGATAAGAGAAACTGAAAATTTAATAGAACATATTAACGCTGACTAATCTATTAGAATTTATCTACATGTACATATTTTGAAAATTCATTAAATCTTACTATAATATTATATCCATGCCAGTGAAGAATCTGATATACTGTGCAAAAGATTCTGGATTTAGTTACAATCCAGTAAGTTTACATACAAGGTGTCCTGTTTTGCTAAAGACATTCCGAGTGTATTCTACTTACAGAGCATGTAAATTTATCTTCCAACCTCTGAATTCTTTTGCTTACTCTAAGTCCCAGCCAACAGAGGAGTCTCAGCTGCTTTCTACAGCTGGCTTCCTCCATTTATTTTTATTTTCTCCCTTGTATTCTGTCAAAAGTTTCAACTTTAGTCAAAAATGGTTTGTGCTTCCCTCCTAAGTTTCAACTAATAAAACGATCTCACAGAAATAATAAAACTGGGTCTTATAAAAACCATTCTAGAACTATTTAACTGGAACAAAGATGTGGACATTGTCCAATAATCAATGACAAAATTTCTCTGGAACTCTTTTTTGCTAGGTTTTAAGAAGATCAAAAAATTCATAAAGAGAGGCAATTGTATAGCAGAGGCAAAGAATTTTAAAGAGAAGAAAGTCAATGAAAGTCAATTGAACAAGTGAAAATATCACCTATATGTATATCTTAAATCTACTGTACGCTGTGTCCGATGTTTTAATATTTCTTTATTAAAAGGAAGTCAGAGCTTCTTTTTTATGATAATCAACAAGAAGATGGTCCTCAGTGCTTAAAAATGAGTAAGGTGATACAGCTAAGTAAACTCCTAGCATGTATAAACAAATTAGGAAAACTTGATAGGATTCCCACCATACTTCCTGAAGTTGCAATGAAGCAAAACAAATATAAAACTAGAAAGCAAAAAACTAGCATTTTAGTCCAAAGAAAAATTTTCATTCTAAAATAAGCAAATTAAAAATATCTAAACTTGGAGAAGACAATTTTTTCTATAGGAAAATACGATTTCAAGGACAAAGAAACTCTGCTTTCAAACTCTCACCCTTGAAATTCCCAAATAAATTTGAAACCATGTTTATTCTTCATGGTCTCATGGCATTTCAACAAAAATTAACATCATATTTCAATTTAAGATGTATGTATTTTCATGTATTTCTGACATAGGATGTGATAACAAATGACTGCATGTAATAATTTAAATGTTTTGAAATTTTTTGTAGTGCCAAAAAAGGTATATTTTACCATAACAGAATCACAGAGTCAATAAATAGTTCTAAATCAATCTGAAAACATACTAATATTTTAATTCAAAATTACTCACGTTTTTCAGTTAATGCTACTTCACAAATTTCTTTCAATCGAGTTATGAGAAGCTGATCAGCCACCACAAGAACACTACAAATAAAATCCACATTTTGAGATTCTATAAAAAGGAAAGAAAAGAAAAAAACCACATTACTCTGTTACTCTGTAACAACTATTACACTTAGCTAAAAAATTTGAATTAAGACATTAGGAAAGAGAATTATAATTACTTCTACATATTGGAATGGTAATTATGATAAACAGTTAAATACATCAAACTATTTCTACCTTTTAGGTAGAAAGATGAGAAAAAATAACACCAGAATGTGTTGACTGACTTTGAGACTATAAAACAGCCTACATGAGGTGGTCATTTCAGTCTAAAAGGTTTCAATGTCCCATATCTGTTTTTACCAATATTCAAGCACATTTTTTGAGTAAATTAACACCAGATTATTGCAAGCCTTTGGTTGTTTTTTAAAATTCTGAAAAAGTTGATTTTAATAATTTTTGGTAGTATTCTCATGGCTTTTATATAGGAAGTAATTTCCAGAAGTTCTTAAAAAATTACTTGTTAAAATGGCAAAAATCCCCAAACTGATCTACAGATTCAATACTTCCTCATTCAAATCCCAGCTGCCTGTTTTACAGAAATTAACAAAATATCCTAAAATTCATATGAAAATACAAAAGAGCAGGGCCAGGGATTTAGCTCAGTGGTGCCACCACCTGCCTCGCAAGCTCAAGGTCCTGAGTTAGAACCCTGATACAAAAAAAAAAAAGAAAAGAAAAGAAAAGAAAATACAAAAGAGTTGAAATAGCTAAAACAATCTTGAAAAAGAAAATAATAGGAAGTCTCATGTATCTCAACTTCAAAATGTTATTACAACACAATGGTTATCAAGATAGTATGGTACTGGCATAAAGAGAAACATAGAGGGTTAAAAGGTCAAAAATAAAACCTTATATTTAAGTAAACTGATTTTTTTTTAAAAGTGCCAAATAAATCAATAGGGAAATAAAAGTCTTTTCAACAAATGGTGCTAGAACCACAATATACACACACACAAAAGAAGGAAGTGTGATTCTTAAACACATACAAAAATTAACATTAACCAATTACAAGAGTAGTTAGTTACCAGGGGTCACAAGTGGCTAAAATAAAGAGATGTTGATCAAAGGTACAAGTTTGAAGTTACATGACCAACAAGTTTTGGAGGCCTAAAATACTATATGGTGACTACAATAATAATGTAGTATTTTTTAAATTTGCTAGGAAAGGTCTGAAGTATGCTCACACACGCTCACACACACATACACACACAAAAGCTAACTAAGGTAAAGCATATGTTAATTAGCTTGGTTGTGCCAAACATTTCACAATGTATACATGAGTGATCAAAACTATGGTTAGTTAATGTTTAAATTTTTAAAAATTTATTACAGTAAAAGGCATACTGTCATTAATCCCCTTCAAAATATTCCCCCTCACTTCAAACACACAACCCATCATTCTTGCCACTTTCTCTTCTATTCAGTGTTTTTTATTTTATAAAAAATAAAATCAAAATAATCAAATAGTAAGAGAATAACAAGTTATTACACTGTGTATCGTTATCTTCAAAGTACTCAAGAGTACAAGACAAACCAAAAAGATACGTAGAATAAAGAAACAAACAAATAATAACACAAACCTTTCTTTTCAACAAATTAATATAAACTAATAGTATATATGAAAACAATTAGAATATATATTGAAGTATTTTTAAATCAGCGGAATTTGTCATTTGGGAAAGTATTTGAACTCCCTACTTCCTATTTAACGCTTTTCTATTTTATTTTTTATTTGCTCTCTCGTATAAGATAAACCATGTGATACTTGAGGGTGTGTGTATGTCATAATGTTATTTCATTAACAGTATGTTCCCAAGTTACACCCATCTTGCCACTTTCGGAAACAATTCTCAAACAGTCCTCTTTTGTGTTTTTAGTTGCCTTCCCTTGGCTGCCTCAATATCCTAAATTAATTCAAAATGTTTACCTTTCATGGTCATTTTGACTTTGGGAAAGAACTAGAAGTCATATAGTGCCAGATCTGGTGAATAAGGTTGATAGGCATACAATATAATGTTTTTATGACCCTGTCTCTCCACTGGATGGCACACAGCAAGAGCATTCACCTTGCTTTTGATAACATCTTGTAGAGACACAAAAGAGGACTTCCAGAACTGCTTCAGAAAGTGAGAACAATGGGATGTGTTTGAAGAATTTTTTAAATTTAAACATTCACTTTATATTTTGATTACACTTCAAGTATCAAAACAACACATCATATACCTTAAACACATAAAATTTTTATTTATCAATCATACCTCAAATAAAGCTGAGGGAAAAAATATACAAAATGAATGAGACACCTAAATGTGAGATACAACTATAACACTCTAAGGAGAAATACTGGGAATAATAGTTTTCAGATTTGGCAATGGATTCTCAGATCTGACACCAAAAACATGAGTAACAAGTAAAAATAGGTAATCTGAGCTTACTAAATTTAAAACTTTGATGTTTTAAAGGATATAATATCAAGAAAAGGAAAGTGCAACCCAGAAAATAGGAGAAAATCCTATCTCTAATAAGGATGAGTGTCCAGAATATAAAAAGAATTGCTACAACCTAATAAAAAGACAATTCAAATAAAAATGACAAGAATCAGAATACATAAAGAACTGTTACAACCTAATAAAGATAATCCAAATAAAAATGATCAAAATTTTTTTATATTTTAAAAAAAATTTTTATATTTTAAAGATATACAAATGCTCATAAAGCAAATAAAAATGTTCAACACCATTGGAAAAATGAAAATTAAAGCTACAATGTTATACTACTTCACACTCACTAGAATGGTTACAATTAAAAAGGTAGATATTAAAAAATAAATAAATAAAAAGGTAGATAATAACAAGTGTTGGGTGAGATGTGGAAAAACTGGAACCTCATACACTGGTAGCGGGAAAGTTAAAATACACTTAATAAACATGTAGTTCCTAAAAAGTTAATATAAGCATTATCATATGATCTAGCATTTCTAGTCCTAGGTATATATGGTTAAGAGACATGAAAACATAAGGCTACACAAAAATTTGTGCATGACTTTTCATAGAAGCATTATTCAAATAGCCAAAAGTGAAAATAACACAAACAACCATGCTCTGATGAATAGATAAATAAAATAAACTGTGGTATATCTAGCAAATGGATATTATTTTCCAATACAAAGTAATGAAAGGCTGTTACATGCTATAACACAGATGAACCTTAAAAACTGACATAAAGTAGATTAGTTTCTCCCTTGGTTGCCAGGGGTACAAATGAGGGAGAATGAGAAGTGTTTGCTACTGGGCACGGGGATTCTTTTGGAGGTAATGCAAATGCTCTTGAATTACAAAATGGAGATAGTTGTACAATTTATAAGAATACTAAAACCTATTTTAAATATGGTATAGAAGTACGAATTTTGCCAGGCGTGGTGGTGCACATCTGTAATCCCTGCACTTGCGAAGCTGAGGCAGGATGATCCCTGCAAGTTTAAGACCAGCCTGAACTCATAGTAAAACCCGGTCTCAAAAAACAAAACAAAAACAAAAAGAAGTATGAGTTTAGTGGTATGTGAATAACATCTCAATTTTTTAAAAGAATGAGAGGAACAGGAAAATACCACTGTCTCTGTTGGGTATACTCTTAGACAAATCTTAACTCCTGGCCTCAGTTAAACACTATCTCCTATACAAAGACTACCTAGATTTCCCCAAGCTGGTTCAGATGCTAGTTTCTTTTAAATGCACCTACTTTTTAGACAAAAATACTCTGTTGAAACATACTTCTTTAGCTATATGGTGCTGTATTCTCCACTTGAATATAGAGTAGGGTCTTTCCATCTTTTTAACTTTAATATACAAAATTATATTAATATTAGCGGTGGTAAAATGAATACCACAGAACACTCAGAAGCATTCCTATAAAGTTACTGGTAGACAAAATACTGTAGTTTGACTGATAAAGCATATAAATTTAGTCTCTTCATGAATTTTGCTTTAATTTTTAATCTATTTCTTTGACTTATGGTGTTGTTACAAGGGGAGAAATTTGGCAAAAAAGAACTTAGGTTAAAGAATTTGTTAAAACTATATTCTCTGCTGTCAAATCATTCATCTCAGAGGGATCTGGAAATGGCACTACAAAATCTAATTTCAAACATTACATAAAATTCTTAAGAGTTCAAGATGTCCTGAAAACTTTTTTTTTAATTCTTTTACTGTTAGTAATCATCCCTATTGCTTAACCTAAATTAAGCCTGACAGCTCATTTCAAGTAGAAATTAAGATTTATGTTGATTTTAGCATCATTCCATATATCTGAAATGGCTAAAACTTGCTAGCTCTTATTATTACCTTTTATCACCACAGCTTCATCAGTATAGAGGTAGTCCAAAATAACTTTCAATATGTCAGAATGTATTGGCATTTCCAGAGCTGCACAACTGGAAGCCTGAATAAAATAAAATAAAGTAAAATAAGTAACTTTAAATAATAAAATACTACCTTCTGACTTATGAATATGAAAAACTTTGAATAGTAAATCACATCAAAGGCAAAGAACATGAAATTTATAATACACAAAGCTAAAATAAAATGCAGTATATTTAAGTTTCATAAAATAAAGGAACAAATAAAAATCTTAAAAAACACACACTATCTTCCTAATACACTTCTTACTAATAATGGGAAAATTTTTTATTTAGGTAACTATAAGAATTTTAACCTCTAAATGCTATTTTCCAGCAGGTTTACACATAAATACAAGTTCAATATAAATGAAAAGCTGAGTTAAAATACCAAGTTCTAATTCCAAACTTCTTTAGTATATAATTTCCCCAAAATATAAGAAGTGTAGTTACTAGTTCACGTGCTTTCTAATTAAATCTTACCTCAATCCATGAGCTACTCAGCATACTATTAAAATATTCTGGAAGGGAAAAAAAACTCTCAATGCAACCATGGTAGTGAAATAATACTAAAACAAATAAATCAGCAGCTAATAAAAGTATACCTACCAAGTCTAGCACAAAGAACACATTTGTGACAAGGAAATTCCTTTCCATCCACTGATTTCATGGTCACATCACATAGAAAAGAACTTAAAAAAAAAAAGTTTAATTGAAACAAGAATGATTTCTTTACATATTCAGCAAATCTACTGTTATAAAATGTGGCTTCAGCTGTTTTTTTTTAAGTGGTAGAGCTGGCCGTGGTGGTGCACACCTGTAATCCCAGCACTCGGGAGGCTGTGCAGGAGGATTGTCATGTTCGAGGCCAGCCTGGGCTACATAGTGAGTTCAAGGCCAGCCTGAACTAGATAACAGGACCCTGTCTCAAAATAAATAAGAAAATAAATGAGTAGGCAGAGAATAAAAGAGTTGGAGATATAAAAGCAAAAAGAGCACTTTTATCTCCTTCCACTTCAGGGAAAATAACAGTCCTACAAGAAAGATAATATTTGAAAAGGGAACTGAGTACAGATAAATTTTTTAAAGTCTTCTGGTTTTCCTTTTTATTTCACACAAATTATTAATATTTAAATTACATGTATTTAAAGCTTTTTAATCCACTTATCTGTACAATCTCTCCTGTGCCAAACAGTATAGACACCCTACAGTTTGGGTTTCTCCAAACCCTTTTATCTACAAAGTACAAATACCTAACACAAAACTTTTTATTACAAATATACCTAGAATAGCATATCTATTCCTTGAAAATTTATATTAAAGGAAATAATCATGATGAAAATATATAATTAGTACAGTCTGAGGTCTATGTTAAATTCTACTTATAGAAAAATAGAAAATTCAAGAAAAAATAAAAATGAAAAATGACTTTCTTAGAATAAATTTCAATCAGAAGAAATGAATTCTTTCAATGTCTTAATGAAGAGTTAATGTTTTTATCCATTACCTCTCAAAATATCTCCAACATTTTCAGAAATGAAGACTAGAAAAGGTGTATTTTGCTTTACATGTGGGTAAAAAGAGCTCTATTTCCACGCTTTTGTGCCAAATCCTAGAAATGAAAACTTCATTTCTTAACTTACCATTTTTTCTGACTCAGTTTCAGTTTATTACCAGTTTTCCTGGCAATAACGTTAATCTCTTCATTTTCAAATCTCACTCCATCTAACCTATCAAGAAAAGATAAAAATTAACAACTGTCAGATGTTTCTCTACCAAGATAAACAAACCTAGAAGAAAAATGCAATAAATGAGCTTATATGTGAACATAATTATATTATCTTCTAAAAAAAGCATCTCAACAAAACCCCACTCCAAGATAAAAAAAACTTTTTGTTCAATTTAGTTAGTAGTAAAAATGTTAAATTATTGGGCTGGGGATTTAGCTGAGTGGTTCTGCAGCCTGCCTCACAAGCACAAGGTCCTGAGTTTGATCCCTGATAACCCCCCCCGCCAAAAAAAGTTAAATTATTAAAAAAAAAAAAAAAAAAACAAACAAACCTCAAAGCCATAGCACAAAGTCCTTCGATTCTGTTAATCAGGGCATATCAGGAATGTATTTTAATTTTTACTTGAAAACAACTTTAATTTTTATGATTTTAGTACATAAATTTGATTGTTTTTACACAGAATATGAAGATTTCCAGGCTATCATGATATATATTGTTTTGATATACACAAAAAAATAAATGCCTTAAAAAAGAGAAAGTGGGTATTGATGTTTTCAAGCTGCAGCTTCTGTGGCTAAGGTAAAGGTCAGCAAAAGGATGTTGTACAAAAATTATAAGGTAAGTACTGTTATCACTCAGATATAGTACATGGAAAGATGGTAACCCAGAAAATGGTGGAAGAAAGCTAAATAAAATAAAGCTTTGTAGCTCAGTGGCACCACGCCTGTCTCACAAGTGCCAAGGTCCTGGGTTCGATCCCTGTTACCAAAAATAAATAAATAAAATAAAGCTTTGATGTCAAAGAGAGCAAGATTTGATCCAAAGGAAAAAATGAGTTTTTCCCATGCAAACTTTGTAAAAATTCTATGCACAACTAGACTCTCATTACTGCCAGGGCTATGTATACAAAGGCAATCTGTGGACAAAAGCTTTTGAATACTAAAAACTACAACAAAATCTGTTGAGATGTAACAATGAAGTTTCTGGCATTTTATTATTTTACTTTCTGCTCTTACTTTGCAAGACTAATATAAGGAAAAAACTTGTTTTAAGACAAATAATTAAGTTTAAACCAAAGAAATTGATTGGTATTCATTCTTTTGTTTTCAAGAAATTCTGAATAGCAATGATGTAACCAGTCTATGGCCTGAAATTATTGTCCTTATGAACAGTTTTTTGAACTAGAGTAAGTGACAAATTTAATGAAAAAATATTTCTGAGTTCTGTAAATACTTTTACTTTCATGTTATTCTTTCTTTTTTTTCTTGGTACTGGGAAATCAAACTCGGGTCTTTGCGCTTGCACAGCAGGCAGCAAAACCACTGAGCTAAATCCCGGCCCCTACTTTCATGTAATTCTTATCCCCACCACCTACTTTACAGAGAAGGCAAAAGTGAGGAAATTGATATTTTGCTCTAAACTCAGCACTCAGATTTGGAATTCTTATTCCTACTACCTTACTGGTAGCATAGTTCATATATATCATCAGCCATCTCTAATTAATTACAGTTTCTTGGGACATTTAAATGTTTGAGGCCATTATAGCTGAATGGTCCCCTAGTAATTAGTCCAGACCCAAATCAAAGTCAAGTTGGATTGGAGATTTTTAAAAAAATTTGTTCTTAGGGCCAGGGATTTAGCTCAGTGGTTCCGACGCCTGCCTCACAAGGGCAAGGTCCCGAGTTGGATCCCCAGAACCAAAAAAATCCCCAGAACCAAAAAAATAAAAATAATTTGTTCTTGAAGCCAAAGTACCAGTTCCTTTTATATGTGAATAAGAATACATGAATGACCCTGTGCTTAAATGAACTACTACACTGAATTTCAGAAAAACACATAGTACCTTGAATTCAAATAGTCATTAAAGCCAGAATGGTGTTCATCCATGTTCATGTATAATGAGAATGTATCCCCACTCTTTGGAACAGCTCTTTGAAGTAGAAAGCAAACTTTTCTTTTTAAACACCCCCCACCCCCACCCCCAATAAATAGAACAAAGTAAACATCTTGAATCTTTCCTTTTTCAACAATGTAGACTGCTGAGACTATTCTTGAGTTTCAAGTGAAAATTTTTCCTGTATTTCCTTCAGAGGTTCAGGACTTCTATTTTTAAAACCTGTCCCCAATACAGGAGGTCAAAAAAGTATTCCCTATTTTAACTGATGTATGTACAAATGTATATCATTATAGAATATGTAGGATACTGTAGATGTGACAAAATACGTAATAGACACTGCATTGTTAATGTTTTAAAATTACTATGAAAAGGTAGTTTTAGCTGTTCAATTTTTCCACAAAGCTTTTCAAATAGTGTTTGATAGGATACTCTAAGCATATTCTGAAAGATTCCAATGATAATACAAAAGAAGGTCTTAATGAGATAAGTACAAGAATAGACATTAAGGAAATCATACCTACTACTCAGATTACTGAGGCCAAATTTTTTTGCAACATTTTGCAACATTCTTACAGGATCATCTTCCCCAATACTTTTTCCTTTTTTCAAAGATTTGGGTTTGCTTTTCTGTCTTTCACTAACTGAATGTGTTTGATTACTTTTGTAAACTTCAAACGCTGACTTCTGACTATCATCTTCATAGCAATTCATTTTATTCATCTGTGAATTCAGAGTGTCCTGATATTCTTCTGGTTTTCTCCTTAAGTGTATTCTTGGTTTGAAGCCATGAGTTAAAAAGTCACAAGTATCTGTATATATGAATTGTAAAAGGTATTCAAACAAATCAGGATGAACTTTCTCTACTACAAAGAGATGGCATCCTGCAGAATCTTCATCTTTCCTGTAAACATCTGGAAATTCTAAAGTAGTACCATCTGAAAGAAATAATTTCTGAAAAAATTCAGCATGCACTGCCAAAATATATTTATGTGCTGGGAAGATTCTATTGCCAACTTGAAATGTCACATCATGGATATTGTCCATTTCATCTGTTTCCCTCAAGAGTTTGCCAAATTCTTCAAAAAAGGATGAAGAGGACACAGTTGGAATTTCATAAAGGCTAGAAATAAAACAAAAATAATTTTTACATTCAAGAAATTAGATGGAAAGGGCAGCCCTGGCTGATTCCCTTGAAAATGAAATGTTTCATTAATCATAATTACTATTAATGGAACTTGGAAAATTTTAAATTTGCTATTTCCAAAAATATAAGAAAATCTCAAAGGCTTAGATATTGTATCAACCTTTAAGTTTTTATTATCTCTTTTTTGCTTTTTTTCTGTCATATTAAATGTCAAGAGCTAAGTTTTCCTTTGAAAGAAATGCTATTTCAATAACTACATGCTAAAAAATATATACATTCAAATGGCTATTTTATTATAATTTTTAAAATTATTAAATATATACCTAAAGACATCTAAATACTAGCCAAAAGCAAAGTTCCCAAATGTTTCCTCTTTCATATATTTTCTATTTTATGAATGGAAAAAAAAAAAACCAAACAAGATTTGAGCAATTACTTCCTGTGCTATACCAAAGAACAGGTCTAACACTCAAGTAAAAATAAACAGACTACAACCTGTCTGCAACCCTGGTTCTTTCAGTACAATAGGAATGTAAACGTAGCTTCCCAATCTACTTTTTACCTTACTAGGTAGGGGGACAAACTTTCCTGATGTACCTTAGAAAGGATTTTTCCAGATGAAACCTTGAGTGTGTAAACTGCGGCAGACCTGGGCCAACCAGGATGGATGGTCACTCCACTTCCAGGATTTCTTCCCTCTTCACCAGTACCATTGATATTTGTCTTATCTCTGTACTAATGTGATTTAGGATATTTGCTTGGGATTCTATCCTAGAGATGGCTCCATACCACCTCTTCTGTCAATTCTTATCATACTCAAAGGTCAGAAATTTTTTGCAAACCACATAATAAATATTTAAAATACATTTCTCAGAATGTGAGAACCCAGAGGACATCATAAAGCATTAAAGGCAAATTTCGTTTATGTGTGCATCTATGTATTTTCAGACAACATTAGCTCTATAATAACCAATTCCACCTTTAGGTTATCAAACATATTAATTTGTCTAAAGTCTCCAAGACTTCATAATTGTTCTTCAATTAAATTTTACCAGGAGCTACTGAAAACAAACAAAAGATCTCAGTGATTATCAGTTCTGAAAATGAAATTTAATAAATACAAATGTACCTTGTTTTAGGATCTGACTGCAGGATTGCAAAATTACATCCACTTGGATCTGTGCTGACACTAACAGCTCTGTGGGCAAAAGTAAGTTTCTCAAGTCGAATTCTTTCATACACATTATTTGTATCAGATACACAAGACATATCTGATGAGGAATTATGCAGATTTGATAAAATGTCTGCTAAAAAGAAAATAAGCTACCATTAATCAAGGCTTTACTGCAACTATTAAAAAGATTTAGGATTAAGTGGAATAAAAAACAATTGGACAAGTATGAAAATATCTTTTATATATTCATACATTAATCACTTGACAGTTTACCTCAAGCATCACTCAGAGAAGCGTGTTTGTTTACATCCTGACTATCCCAAGCATCACTCAGGAAAGTGTCATTTAAACCAGTCAATTCTTGTATTGAATAAATTTGACAAAATTGACATTTTTAAATTTCCTATTACCTTATAAAAATTAATGAAAAAAATGCAATTCGAGGTCATCCTGTATTTAAATAATTGGACCAGTAAGTGGTTAAGTTCTTTTGAAAAACTACTTCTTCTTTCTCTATAACACAATATTTTCAACATATATTTTTTATAGTACACAGAAAACTTTTGATGGATCAATTATCTATCAGTCACGATTTTATCACTTTCAATAAACACATCCTCTATATTACAGCCAAAATTATCTAGTCATACTGGCTTTCAAAATTCTTCAACTTGCATTAGAAATATATAAACCTGAGGTTTTCATACTCTGCCTCTTTATTCCCTTTCCCTTTTCCCTTTCTTGTATTTATTCAGCAAATATCTGAATGACCATACTGTGCTGCTGTGATACAGGAATCATCAGTGTATCCATGGTGATGCAGTAGTAAATGAGATAATCCTGACCTTGTCTTCACTAAGTACACAATCTAGCAAGGAAAACAGAAATTAAATGATTGTGTCGTTACCAGTCAAATCAAGATTATGAAAGCACATAGTGCTTCCCCATATACATGAAATTTACCTATAAAGAAAGAATCCTGGCTATAGTGTGAAAAATTTTCAAAGTAAAAACAAAGGAATAGATCCAAAGAATATGTATTATTTTAAGTCCAGAAAAATAATAAAAGATGAAATAAACTGATGTGGTAGCAATTAATCTGGAGAAAAGTGGAAAGATTTCAGAAGCATTTAAGGCTGAGGTTAGAAAAATTTGGTGACTGATTAAATGTAGTGGGAGGATGTCAAAAACAACTGTTTACTAAGACAAACATGTAGGAGTATAAGGTCATGAATTCAGTTCAGTTCCAGGTCCCTAAATAGGAAGAGTAAGACACAATTTTAAAGGCTTCCAACATTTTCAGATTAAACCTGTGTTCTAGTTCCTCTCAAATTCTCTCTACTTCAGTCTGAGAAGGCTTATTAATCTTCCCCCAATACTTAAGTTATTCCAATTTCTACACTCAAAAAAAACTTACTTCCAGATGAAGTGGAGCACAACTACAATCTCAGCTACTTTGGAGAATTAGGCAGAAAGACTGCCAAACTGAAGGCCAGACTGGTCAACTTAATTGGGCCCTGTCTCAAAATAAAATGAAAAAAAGTCTAGGTATTTAGCTCAGTGGTAGAGTGCTTACCTAGCCTGTGCAAACCCCTGAGTTCAATCCTCAAAGAATGGAGGGAGGGAGGGAAGGAAGAAAAGATAGATGGCTGGAGGGATGGAGGTATGCGGGGAGAAAGGGAAGGAAGGAGGGAAGGAGGGAACTAACCTATTATACACATATTAGCATCTGTTTCAATGAACTGTAAATATTTATATACTTCTCTATTGCCCTTATAAAGCTTAAAAGTACCTCAGAACTTATGAATAGCTCATTTTACATATTTTTTATCATTAAGACTTTGCCCTGTATCTGGTAGAGTAACTGTATCTTAAATGTTTACAAACTTGAATAATAGGTAAAGAAATAAAATACAATACAGTATATCAATAAATTATTACTCATTCCTTCAAGGTTTTATGATGTGAAGAAAATGTTTAATTTTGAGGAATCATAAATGTTCTTTATATTTATTTTCACGATATAATAATGTATTCATTCAAAAGAGTACTTAATGAGAAATTACAGTATATACAGGAAATATGTCAAATGTGAAAGATATAGTGGAATGCCATCACTGAAGTTATAGTCTAACAGGAGACAGGTATTAAACTAATCACAAAGATAAACATATAAATGCTTAAGGGTAAAACCTAATAATACTTGTCAAATTAAAGGTTAACCGAAAGGTACTTTTATATTCTGTCCACACAAATGAACTGACCTTTCTTTTCAGAATTCTTTCTTTTTTCTTCAAACCATTTTCCTCTAAATCCTTCTCCATCTTTTGTGACAAACAGAATCTCATTTCTACTTAAACCAATATCAGAAATGAAGACCTGCCGTGGATAGGCCCATCGACACTGCTTCAGAGAACTGCTGACAGACCGCCAGCAAAATACCTAAAGCCAAATCACACCATGACAAAAAGTAATATAATATCTGAACAATCAAAATCTGATATAAAAAAATTGTCAAAATAAAAGCTCTAACTAGTACGTTATTTATTCTTCCATAGAAAATAAGACATTATAAAAGTAAACATAATTTTAAAAAACTATGCCTTTCAGCAAAGTATATTAAGCAAATGTGAAACATCAAAAATTATGCCTGTTAAGTAGTTTTGAATATTAACTTGTTTGAGGTAAATAAATCTGTAACAATGCTATAGAGAAGCAAAATCTTAACGCTAACACCTAGATAACAGGTTTGTTGTAGTAATCTATTTGGAACCAAAAAAAAAAATATCACCTTATGAAAATTCAAACTTTACACTCAAGAAAAAAAACCATATATATGCAAAACTCAGTAACAAAATTTAAAAAGTCTTGAGTAACAGAAAAATTATCATACAGTTCAATGGTTCGCAAGTGATTCTGTAAACTTTAGCAGTCCTGAGAAGTACATCAGGGACTACTGCAAAGAGACTGCACCAGAGAGAAGGCTGAGAGATGAGGTATTAAGCCTCCCAATCCATTTAATCCAGAGCAGCAATTCTTTAATCTGTTCATATATTGGCATGCCAAGTATGACTACATTTGAAAAATTACAACAACTGTTTTTAAAAGTCTAATGCTATCATTATCAAACTGAAAAAAAACCAAAAAAGCTAAAGCACAAAATCATATTTGCCAAGGTGACTTAAAAGTTATTTACAGCCAGGCATGGTGGCACATGCCAGTAATCTCAGCAATCTGGAAGGCTAAGGCAGGAATATAGCAAGTTTGAGCCCAGCCTGGGCAACTTAGGAGAGACCCTTTCAGAAAAAAAAAAAGGCAGCAAGGGGACTGAGGAGTTACACACACAAAAGACTCAGTTCCCTGCATTAAAATTATCCATGGCAGCAATCTATGCCTACAGTGAACTAGTAGGTTCATTATGATCATTTTAGGATTAACTCATCAATTTCTAAGACGTCAAATTTCACAATATTTCTTTAAAAAATCTCAAAAAACATTCTTATTTTTTTATTTTCTAAGCAAAAAACAGAAAGCCATCTGTTTTCTAGACATAACATACAATTTTTTCAATGTTACTCATGTACAACACATATTTTTAAGTATCCCTATAAATTTAAATATATATGTAAATTTGTATTTGAAAATTTAAATATACTTAAATTTTACATTTAATTTAAAATATACAGTATATAATTTCAACACATTCTAAGTATATATTTCAATATCTATTTTAAATTAACAATTTTATTAAGAGAAATGCACTAATATATTTGCTCAGGGAACTAAACTCAAAACTCTAAAAGAGGTAAGATCTTTTGTATAGTAGTGATCTAGAAATAACTATCTTTCATACACAGATTGATATCACCTGTGTATATGTGTATTAAGTGTATTTGTATAAAACAATCTGGCGAAAAAATTTCCAATTATGCACCAAATTTTGACACCACATATCTCTTATCTATGCAACCTGACTTCATTATTAATACTCAAGTCCAAAAATTCCAATTCATTTTCATTTAAAAAACTCTAAAGGAAATCTGAAATTATAATTTAACACAGCAATGCTCTACAACAGATTAAATGTCATATTTTCTCTGAAATATTAGCTCCATACTAGTTAGTACTGGGTGTCAAAAATAGGGAAACAAAATCATTAGAAATTAGAAATTGAACATTAACAGGTTTCCTACAGTTGTAATCTGAGAATAAAATTACTACACTTTTACTTAAAAATATATATAATACCCTTCCAGCTCCATCCATTGCAAGAATGCAGAGTTTTTGACCCCCATTTTCTTTCAAATGTTCAGGATCAACTTTGTATTCCATACGACCCCCAGACACAAGAACCTTTTTCAAATTCAGCTGTCTGAGTGGGGGAAAAAAAATTCTAGGTTAAATTATATTCTCTAAAATACACAAACTTAATTTTAAAGAAATGACTATTCAAACAATAACCAATAGGGAATTATTATAAAAGATAACTAAAATGATTTGATCTCTGATATCCCCAGGCTCTCCTTTCCATAAATTTAAACTATTTCTTTCTATGGCAATTCCTTCTCTCTCAAAACCTCTACTACATAGATACTCACATTACATACCTAAACCTCACTTGCTAATGCACACCACATTTACTTAAGACTTTAAATAACTGGTAACAATATAATTTCCTAAGTATATTTCTATTTTAACAACAAAAAAATTTAAACTACAAAATTAAAAAGAAATGCTTAATTTCAAATATGATAAATTCTAAATAGATACATCTAGCATGAGCGTCATTAATATTGCTAATTAATAACTCATCCATTAGCTACACATTTCATTTTATTTGTATATCTGATGTGAGCATTGTGTGAAACCTGTGTGGTGGTACTCCAATGAGTGTCCTAACCTTTCAGATAGATTACCTGTATTAAAGAAAAAAATTATTTCAAAATTATACGATAACTTAATCTATAACAAAATAATTTTCATCATGAACACTTGGATTGATTTATATTTACATAATTTAATGTTATGAGGGAAAGGTTTTGGTGGGTTTTTTGTTTTGTTTTGTTTTACTCAAACCCTTTTTAAATTTTTTGTTTTGAGACAGAAAACATGTTTACTTTTTCAAATTTCTGAAACTGAAACATGGACCTACAATAATGTCAAAAGTAACTTTCTAATTGTTACACAGAGATGATGAATTATAATATGTAATGCTCATGAGCTAATTTCATAGGTGGTATCTGTTTATGAAATTAACCCCTTTTACCTGAGCAAAAGTACATTTTGTTTCATTTAAATTTAAATCCCTAATTGTCTTAAAAGTTACAGGGCTACTGTCAAGAATTTTTGCCCACAACTTCTTCTAGTGGTTGAGCTGTACTCTGCTGGAATCAGTTCTATTTCTACAGACTTATCTCTGTCCTTATATTTATTACTAAAATTATATAACATAATGAAAAATTACACATACAACTATATATAAATGAAAAATTATATATATATAAAATTACATAACATAATGAAAATACTACCTAAATGAAACAGTCTGAAAAGAACAATGTTTTTCTATAAAAGTTGAATATTTGGAAATACCATAATATGAGCAGCAAAACATTATTGTCAAATCAGATACAGATTAATCAACTACAAAGATTGAAATGTATACTTCACAATTATTTTTAAGCATTTGTTCCTTAAAGCATTCAAAATGAAATCACAGGAAACACTATGAGTATAGTTTATAAATGAAAGACATGGAACTCCCAACTGGCAGATCCATCCATGCTTAAAATTAACTTTGATACTTAGTTGAGTAATCAAAAAATTAGAACAAACTGCTGGTTTACTGCATGATATTCTAACATGCTTTCAGGTATCCACTGGCTACATAAATTCAAAGATAAAAAATAACACCAGTTAGACATAAACACTGAGTCTGAATACAAGGTTTATCATACACAATTATTTTTAAAAATGATGAATGTCATTATATTGTATACCTAAAATGTACCAATGATTAAAATGAATAATTGATAATGCAAAACAGGAAGAAAAGGTCCAAAGGGGTAGGGGAAGTGGGAGGGGTAGGGGAAAGGAAAGAAGGGAAAGGAAAAATTATGAGAAATGGAAAAAAAGGAAACAAAGTCTTTATAAATAGGGAAGGGAGGGCAGGGAATGGGGAAAAAAATAAGAACCAAGTTACATCATGTACAGGTACAAGTTCCCAATGATAAATGTAAGTGTATTGTATACCTAAAATGTACCAATAAAAGAATTTAAGGAAAAAAAAAAAAGAATTGTATCATATATAAAAGGCTACAGATGAAGCAATGATGTCACAAACCAATTATGAATAATCTAGTTCTGTGTATCTGACACATTAAAAAGGAAAAAAATAGGTTTTATTCAAATATAATTCAAAAATACTATTTTATAATTTACAAAGAAATTTTACATATATTCACTAGATCCTTGACAAAAGACAAAAATCATTAAAGGCAAAAATTTCTGAATTTCCCCTCCATTCAACTTTTTCCATTTAACATTGACAAAACACAGCATAAAGATGCTTATCAGGTATTTGCTGGAAAAACTGTACTATTAAAATTATGTTTATTTTACAGAAATACACATACTTAGATGCCATCTTCTTGCATTGATAGTCTGCAAGTAAGTAAATATCTCCCCTCGTGGTAACACAGACTGTTGACCCATCACTTGCAGCAACCAAAGACAGATTAATGTCCTTATGATGAAGGGCAGAGACTTGACGAGGAGCAGTTACACATTTTTCTCCATTGGGATCTAGTAAATAACCTAAAAAATTATACAAACAAATCATAAAATATGTTTTAAAAACCCAATTTAGTTGTTAGATATTTTCTTTCTTTCTTTCTTTCTTTTTTTTTTGGTACAGGGGATCGAACTCAGGACCTTGTGCTTGCAAGGCAGGCACTGTGTTAGATATTTTCATGAAAGATTTCTTACCCAGCTGCCCACCATTTAGTCCCATTGTGTAAACAGCTTCTCTAGTCCACAGCACTGTATGAAACCTGCCTGCTGCTACTCCAATAACTGTCCTTCCTTTCAGATATTTTGCCTGCATCTATTCAAAGACAAGAAAAATGTTTAATTTCTCCTGTGAAAATAATATATATACCATTGAAGATAAGATTAATTAAGTGAAAAAAAGTTGTTCTGTCAATATGACACTTTGCCCATACATGTTTTGTAACAAATAACATATTGTTTAAAAAACAGAAGTTTACCTGTCTGGGTACATTACAACTGGAAGGCGGAGGAATAATTCCTAACTGATGAAAAATATTTAGACCAAATGTATAAACACATCCATCTTCAGTTAATACAACAGTATGATCCTTAGCAGCTGCCACTTGGGAACAATTATGACCATTCAGTCCTTCCACAAGTCTGGGAACCTATAATACAAGATTAACTTTATTATAATTATTATTTATATTAAAATGCAAGTAGAATCTGATGATAGTATATCCAAATGATGTGACATATGGCTATATCTATCAGAGGTAAACTCTGTATTTCAGCAAAGGGCAGGTAAGTTTAAAATTGTATGGTCAATGGTTTATGAGCAAAACAGATAAACCCAGTAAATTGCAATAAAATACTTCAGTTCAATAATAAATGACTTTTAAGTCTGTACCATATACCAAGTGGAAATGTATAAAGTAAAAAAAGAGACCTCTTCAAAGTATTCAGTGGCATGTTTTAAAAAAAAAAAAAAAATGAGGAATCTATGCTTTTAGTGAGTAACACAACCTACAATTTCATATTTCTTTTGGAGTCTTCTGTCCTGGGTTCAAATTTTGGGTCACTTACTATTTGATACCAATCAAATTTTTAATTTCTTTCTACCTATTTTCTTCATGTGAAAACTAAGCAACCAATAAATGACACTTTACTAGCACTGGCATTACACATAAAATAAAGATAACATAAGCCTATGCCTTATGAGGCTGTTGTGACCCTTAAGGTAATAATTCATGAAAAGCATAAACAATGTCTGGAATCAAAAAATTTTCAAAAAATGGAATATCCTTTTTAAAGCAGGCTTTAATGATAAATATACTAACAGTCTTCTCAAAAAAAAATTCTAAAAATAATCTTGTGAGCCAATTTTCTGGTATGTAGTAAACTAGGCTTCCTCTAATTACTACCATGTTTCAGTAGCATAAAAATAATTTTGTGATTATATAGTGAAAATACTGACTCAAGGTTTAGACTATAGACATTTTAATGAGAAATTTACAATAAAAATCTCGATAACTTCAAGAAAAATATTTTACAATTAGTTTTCCCTTTTATTATCTCTATTCTGGAAATAATTGCAATGCTTATTTATATACTCTCCTGGCTCAATCTTTGCTGTAAAATATTCTCCTCTGATACTCTTACTTTGTAGCTAAAGTCCTTAATTTGAATATTATATACTAGGAAACTGATTTTTTAACTTTATTTTTAATTGGATATTCTTTTTCCCACAGAATTGAGGGAAAAAAATTAGTTATCTGAAACTTCCAGTTTATCAAAAATTTGGTGAAGTTACCTAAACTGTATAATAACACTTAAATTACCAAGCATGTTTGTTCATCTCCATGACCTAAACGTCCTCCAGGACCATGACCACAGGTATAAACCTGCCCTTTCTGAGAGAGAAACACTGAATGAAATTTACAAAGCACCACCTAGGGGAAAAGAAAAGAATATTATCAACTTCTCTGAATAAAATATCCTTTATTTTATAAAAAAAATAGAATATTGCTGTTTTAACTGAATGATGGGGGAAAGGAATTCATCATACTATTCTGTTTAAAATTTTCTGTAAAAAAAAAAAAGTATGCTTTAAAATTGTCTAAAATCATTGACATGAAAAAGGAACAAAGAAAGCAATTATATGTTACCTACAGAAGAGATTAAATGAAGAAAAATTAAGCTTTGAGTCTCCAATTACAAACCCCTTATTTTCCAATTTCATGAAAAACCAAGTAGTAAGAACAGAGGAGAATGCAGGATGAAACATGATTGCCAAATACAGGTATGCATTACTAATAAAAATAGCAGAAACATTTAAATAGTATTTTTTAAATAATAATGTCATTTATACACAAGAAGGCAGTTATAACCTTTTTATATCTCTGATTTTATCTCTATTTTTAATATCATTATATTAAGTAATTTTGTAGTTATTTTCAAGTTTTTCTCTTTCCCATTTCTTTCTTCTTATCTGCTTTGTTCTCAACAGCCTGCCTGTCCCAGACAGCTACATATTCATATATTCCAGAAGACAAGAAAAGAACTGGGTTATCAGAGGCCCATAGTAGGAAATCAACATCAGTTTTAAACAGGCACATGCTGTACTTATACCTAAATACTAGGCCATATTTTGCATTTTCAATGCATCTAATAATCATTGTGCTTATTTTGCCTTAATACTGTTTTAAAATCTTTTTTATTTTTAAAAATCATTTGCATTTATACTTAGAATATAAAAAGATGAGTAAGAAATAAAAAAAATCCTAGAATCATCTTCCAGAAAGTCAAGGCTCTTTGTAAAATAAGAAAATTATAAGTTGAACTATAAGCTCCAAATATTTACACATACCCTTAAACCACTCAAGAGTTCTGTAAATGCAACATGCCCATCCAGAAAAAGGACAAAAAAAGGTAACGCAAGGTTCATTGCCTCATTTAGCTATACCACAAAAATCTTTTTAAAAAGTCTGAAAGTAAAACCCAAATTTGTGTAAGAATAAATTTTTAAGGGAAAAAAATAACTTATGAGTTTAGAAGAAATATATATTTTGTTCTATTTTATAGTCACTATTAGAATGCCATTCTATAATTCCTGGTCTTTACCATTAAAGAAACAGTGGAACCAAAGAGTTTTTAAGACATCCAACTTTAAAACCTCTAAATTTTTTAAAGACAATTAAGCACAGTTTTCCAAGTTAATTCTCTAGACTATAATTATAATCTAATATTAATAACCTCTATCCACTGATAGGTAATTCCACCATTATACTACAGAATCAGCTTTTTCTTAAGTGATTCAGGTGACTCTAATTGGTGCTCAGTAAGCATTCCCATTTTGCTTCCTCTTCCCGATTAAAATTACTGCTTTCCTTCCCTTATATCTATCCACAATGTTTGCTTTACCCACATTCTGTGGTAAATAAAATCTCTTTAACCCTGAATTATTTCAGAGAATAATCATATTTCTTACATTAACCAAAATATGGTTTTCTTTTAGAGTATTCTGATCCACACATAACCCTGTCAAGAGGCATATGCTCAGTTCTTCTATATTATATATCTGGTTTCCTAACAGTACCATTATTCCTTCACTCTTAAGTAAAAAAATCCGTTCCATAACAGTTCATGAAATCTGGTTATATCATCTACCAATTCAGGAACAGAACATTCTTTTTCATGTATCAATTCTGATCAGTCTTTAATGACTACTAAAGAATCATCATTTTAAGGGGGATTTTTGCTGAACTCTCACTATAGACTGTGACACTAGGCTTATGATTTCTGCCCATTCTAAATTGTTTCATTATCCTCATTTTTTCCAGGTTTATGTACATGACTTACCAGAAACTAAGCTTTTATGACACTACTCCAGTCACTTTTCATTCACATACAGGCTCCTCTTCCTGGCCTCTCAATGATGTATTCTCTAGAATTTAACTATTCTATTTAATTTCTTTAAAATTGGTAGTTATGAGACTCTGGGAGGCTGACGCAGGAGGATCACAAATTTCAGCTCAGCCTGGACAACACAGTAGTGCCTTAGACCTTGTCTCAAAATAAAAAAGAGGTTTTGGATGCAGCTCAGTACAAAGGCCCTGGGTTCAATCCCCAGTATTGTAGAGGGAAAAAAATTGTTGGTTATAATCCATTAGATCATTACTTTCAGTTGAAAAAACTCTAAGTTCTGTATGTTGCAGAGGTATAAATATGGTGGCCATAAAATTTATCATCCAAACATTTTTTTTGAGAAAGAGGGTGATAGTAATAAATGCTCTAGAAAAATAATTATAAACCAGAACTGTTCTATGCAAGCCAGGCATGTATAGTCAAAGTAGTTCTAAAAAGTGAGAGTTCAATTTCAAAACACAAACTAAGTGTTTGTATGTGATACATGAACATCAGGTAAAAGCTGAGCAGTGCCAGTAATGTATTGAGAAAAAAATTCAAGTTCCTATTTGTCAAAAGTTGCTTTATGAACTTCAAAATCCAGATAAAACTAGAACGTAGTGGCAAATATGAGTTCACATGGCAGTTCAGCAATAATGAAAACAGCCTTACATCCAAAGCCACAAAGTTTCAATTTCATGCGAAGATGAATTAGCAAAAAACTTTTCTCTTAAGTTAACCTCTCCCTTTTTTGACTGCTCCAGGTATTATACTAACAGAAAGCTAACTGTTCTTCAGACAGAAATGAACTTACTAGACATATGATATAATATTTAGGAGTTAAAAGATGAGGTTGATAACATGAAAATTAAGTAGAGAAAGTTTAGAAGTAGCAAAACTAATACTTGTCTCATTAAGTTTAAATACCTTAAAAGATTATCCAGAATACATTTTAAATGAAGCTTAAGAGAAAAGACGAGGAGAAAAACATAAATTACACATGTATACACACAAAATGTTCTAGAGAAAGTACATGAAAAGCAGCCAAATCTATGAAAACAGAATATACAATCCAGCAGAAGGATTTAAGACCAAAGACCAAACCTTTAAAATTTTATGAATTAAAACTGTACTATTACTTACATTTATGAACTCAGATTCACTTATCAAAAATAGAGCTGAACTTCAACAAATTCAATGAAGAAAAATTGATGAATTCTAATTCTGAAGTAAAAACATAAACTAGAAAATTAACAGAAGCTTTTCCTTCTTTAAATTACTATCTTGTAGCATCTTCTAATTTGTAACACTGCTCGTACAAACATATCTTTAGGGTATTTTATACAGTCTAATATGATTACAGCCAATAAGAGCAACTGATGGATCAAAATATTATTATACATTCAACAAAATTAATATAATCCAAGTGAAAACCTGAACTACTAAATACAAAAAATTCTAATATCTAAAAGTACACAGATTGTATTTTAAAATACCTGCTTGATATAAACACCACTCCTGGAAAACAGATCCACCAACTCTGGATGATGTTTGCTATTCTGGCTTCCATGACCCAGAGTAAAATTTGTATTATCACCCCAGGTATATACATCTGTAGGATCTGAAATGAAAATTGTTTTTGCACTTTTATATTTTAAAACAAACATCAACTTAACTATGGATACATACTATTAACTACCTAAAACCTGATTCTTCACAGGAATTAATTTATCATATTTAGAAAAACAGCAAATTTTTAAACTTATAAATCTATTTAATACATTATATATGCTACAAAACTCTGGAAATAGAAAATTCAAACAGTAGGACAAGAGAAATTGGAAAGGAATACAGGAAAGTTACAAGCTAGGTGACTGCAACACGGAGAAAAGGACAAAGCAGTTTGGAAGCTCACTCTGGCTCCTGGGAAAAGGAAGTTGCCTCCTACACACAAGTAAGTGCCCAGGGCCAGCAGCTCTCAAGGGAGAAAGGGCAGACTGGCTGGCAGTGAGGACCACAGGAGGAGCACACAGCTGATGTAAACTGAAAAAGCAGTGTGCGGTTTTGTTCTAAGGTCCACACAGTAGGCAACAGCTGGAGAGGAAATCCAGTGCAGAACCCATCATATTGCCAGAGAGTGCTTAATCAAGTGCCATTTTAGGAAGGGGTTGATTATTTAAGTCTGGGACTCAGAACATCTAAAAATCAATTTCACTTCAGGATTTTCACTGTAATATTCCCTTAGTGATTGAGCTAGAGACAGCCACAGAGACAGTAAAGGGACAGGGACAGGCTAGTGAGAGAATCTCTGAGTTTAATTAAGCTCAGAAAGGGAAAGACATGGGCTCTATTCTTCATGGTGAGAAGTCAGGCCAAGCTTGTGTTGTGTCCAGAAACTGCTAGATCTGAAAATGGCAGCATTATTTAAACACCTGCCCTGTTGGCTATATCCGGCACAGATCTGAGGTCTGATTGTTTTCCCATCTATGAATGTGAGCATGGATATGCCTTAACTTGAACAGGTGCCACAGCCTGGGATAAGCAGAGGGCCCTCTGGAACACAGGGGCACCTCACAAACCCACGGACTGTAAAAAACAAACAAACAAACAAACAAACAAACAAAGCAAGACTTCCTAGATTCCAAAACTCTGGATCCTGGAAACTATTCATTCAAATACATAAAGAAAAAGTACTTTTTTCCTATTGTTGGACTCAACTTGTTCTTACTTTTCTTTCCCCTCTTCTTTCCTCTTCACTGGTCTATTGCAGATTTGAGGGATATTGTTTTCTCCCCTTTTTAACCTCTTTTTTTTTGTTTTTCTTTTAATTTTTTGTTAATTCTTTTTTTATTCTCTATATTTTTCTTCTTTTCTCACTTTTTTCTTTTTCTTGTTTTTTTGTTACCTACATTTAATTCTATGTTTTTCTCTCCTTCTCGTCTCCCATTGGTTAATTCTTCAAATTTTCCTTCTCACTCTCCCATTCTCAACCCCATGTACCCTTACTGGTATAACTATCAAGCTTTATTAATACTTAGTTAACTCTATGTTACTACTGTGGAATTCCTTTCTATTGTTAGCAGTGGTAGAGTTGTCACATTTAGTAGACACATACTGTATGTCAATATTTAGTTTGTGTTACTGTTCGTACTATAATTAGAGATATCTTTTCTATGGCTAAGGTTGGTACATTTTAGATCAGTGCTGGCAAACCTTTTAGAGCTTTCAATGATAACAAACAGCCAGCTGTGGCACACATGCCATAGGTTTGCCACCAATGTTATAGGTGCTAATGATATGTCACTATCCAGTTTGTCTTAGACCATGTTATTCTTGGTAATTAACTTGCTATTGCCAGGGTCACACAGTTGTTACTATTAAGAGGTTTTCTCTGTATACCAATGTTTGGATTATCTTTGTGTCACTGACAGTGGTCCATTCCTGGAGAACTGGACACTGGCCCAATTATACTGCATCCTCCCCTGCCAAATTAAGAAGTGGTCAGATCATGGGATAGATCATAGACAAAGGACTGTATTTAGCCAAGACCAGAGTGCATCACTGAAAAGCAGACTAACTAAAGAGATTCCCATATTAGCAACAAACTCTTTCTACTAAAAACACCTGAAAACATCAGCGCAAAACAAAAAATAATACAAATATGAGCAGACAAGGCAACAAATTGCCTCCCCAAACTCCCAACTGCCAAAAACCTGATCCAGGGGGCATCCAGGAAATGAAAAGCAAACTACATACAGCCAAATTATTCCAAAAGATAACAGAGGAGATTAAAAAAAGATCAATAAGGTATTCAAGGGCGCACAGAAGATAGAATTGAACAAATAGTGGATGCAATAAAATGATCTAGGAGCTTCCAGAAGACACTAATAAAAAGTGAGCTGAGTATATGGCAGGCTCTGATATGACATATGGTGGATTTAATTGGAAACTCAATTTTTGCTGGTATCCTGTTCCCCAAAGAGAAATGGACAGAAGGAAAGGTGATCGAACTCTTCCTGTCAGAACACCTACAATGGCAGGAGGCCTTTTTTCAACAGACAGAGATTACTTTCAGGAAATTGGAATGTATGATGCTGGAATGGATATTTGGGAAGGAGAAAATCTAGAAATTTCCTTTGGGATCTGGCAGTGTGGAGGAACCTTGGAAATTGTTACATGCTGACATGTTGGACATGTGTTTCGGAAAGCAACACCTTACACATTTCCAGGAGGCACGGGACAGATCATCAATAAAAATAACAGATGACTTGCAGAAGTGTGGATGGATGAATTCAAGAAATTTCTTCTATATAATTTCACCTGGTGTTACAAAGGTAGATTATAGAGATATATCATCAAGACTTGGTCTGAGACACAAACTTCAATGCAAACCTTTCTCCTGGTACCTTGGGAATATCTACCCTGATTCTCAAATTCCACGTCATTATTTCTCATTGGGAGAGATACGAAATGTGGAAACAAATCAGTGTCTAGATAACATGGCTAGAAAAGAGAATGAAAAAGTTGGAATTTTTAACTGTCATGGTATGGGAGGTAATCAGGTTTTCTCTTATACTGCCAACAAAGAAATTAGAACAGATGACCTTTGCTTGGATGTTTCCAAACTTAATGCCCCCATTACCATGCTCAAATGCCATGCTCAAATGCCACCACCTGAAAGGCAACCAACTCTGGGAGTATGACCCAGTGAAATTAACCCTGCAGCATGTGAACAGTAATCAGTGCCTGGATAAAGCCACAGAAGAGGATAGCCAGGTGCCTAGCATTACAGACTGCAGCGGAAGCCGGTCCCAGCAGTGGCTTCTTTGAAACATCACCCTTCCAGAAATATTCTGAGACCAAATTTTCAAAAAAAGAAAAAAAAAAAGGATTGACTGGGCTACCTCAGCATACATTTCTGCCACATTCTTAAGTAGCAAAAAAGGAAAAGTGCTTTCCTCCTCTGCAGGATGTAAGGTTTATCAGCCATTAAAACTCAGACTCCTCTAGCTTTTCACTAGCTGTGAACCAGCCTTCCTGTCCAAGGACATGAAATTGCATAGTAGTGAGACTGTGCACACTGATGTTTACAAGATGGAAAGAGTCTTTCATCAAGAGACATGGGAAAGAATATTCAGACCACAAAACTTAATTAACAAAATGTGCTTTTTGAAGAACTGCACCTTTTATGGTTTGCTTGCACATCAGTAATTTCTGCTGAGTGTGCTGTCATAATGAAGATATTTCCAAGATTTTTTTCCTGATTAGAACTGGTAGCCAGTATATTAATTATTGATATACAAATAGATGAAAAAGAACTGGAACCAGATTCACAATCATGAAAACAACATTTTTAAAACAATTTAAAAATATATATTAAACAGGGTTTAAAGAAAATTACAACAGAACTATGAGAAGTACAATTTGTTATAGTATAGTATCAAATTTCTATATAGATTTTATACCTCAGTGGGGAAAAATAACTGATTCCAATGATATTCATTTTGTTTTCATCTGTGGTAGTCATGGATGCTTTTATTTTTCTTGGGGTGCTGAAAATGAGCTGGGAAAAAAGCTCTTTGAATATAGTTTTAATTTCTACAACATTTTTTATTTGGTTTGTGGGCTATTAGAATTGTAATTTTTAATTGCCTTCTAAAAATGGAGAAGTAACATGATGGTGTCTGGTCTCAACTGAACAAGTTAAATATTTCAGTTGCTCTTGGGTCAACTGGCTTACAGTCTGTCTCTCCCTTTGTCTCATACACACACACGTGCGTACAAACACACAAAAATTTCTTGTCACATCAACTTCTTAACTTGATTCAACAGATCATGCCTAATACCCAAGATTCATACTGCTGTATTAGGGATTTGTTTTCCTAGCAATAAATTTTTAGTTCTTTATGATTCCACTTAACAAAAGGCTTATAGAAGCGCTTATTACTTGGGTATTTGGAGATAATATATTTGGTGGTTTTTTTGAAAACCTTTTTCACTCCATACTCAGATGTACTTCATTGTCAAGTGCATATTTAGATTAGATTCCTGAATTGTAATCTGCTTTTCTAAAAATAAAATTTGACTGAAAATGTTAAAAAAAAAAAAAAAGTGAGCTGAGCTTAATAAAACAATACAAAACATGAATGGCCAGTCTAGCAAAGAATCAGACTCCATAAAAAGGTTCCAATCAGGAGTCTAGGAGATTAAAAATTGTATTGAAAAGTATGGGCAGCAGGAGTGACCACTGTGAAGACAGAGTATCACAATTAGAAAATAGGGTTCTTGCAAACGATCAACTATTCAGAGATACAGTGGTACCTCAGTTTATAATCTTACTTTGGTCTACAATTTTGGAAAAACTGGCCACATGTGTGTTTGTGTGGGAAAGATGGCCATAGCCATGTTTATCAACCAATGCACAGCTTGCAAAAAAACCCCAAAAATTTCCCAAACATTTGTTTGCAAACCGAATTGTGTGCAAACCAAACTGTTTGCAAACAAAAGCATTTGTGAACCGAAGTACCACTGTACCTTAAGAATAAGAGAACATAAAAATGGGTCCAAAACATCTGTTGATACATGTTAGATATACATAATGATAACACTCATCTATGGAAT